GCACACGGTCCCGTTACCTCCCATCCTCGAAGCCGACATCCGCCTAGGAAGGGCCTGAAACCCAGGACAGCCCAGCGGCTGAAATTCCCCTAAAATCGGGCATTTGAGATTGAATTATCCCTGAATCTTTGGGGCAGGGAGGACGTTCCTGCCCCAGGGATGCCGGAGCTTCGTCCGGGCAGGGAAGGGGCTGATAACACAGGGGGAAAAAAAAAAAATAATTCCCAAATACCAGGATTTTCTGGGGCATCGGGGGAGGCGGTAACCTTCCAGGCAGCGTGGCCAAACCAACCAACCTCCCCTGACTTGATTCTTTAATTAATTGCTTGTTACCAAAAATTATACGGTTAACGCTGAACATCAGACAACCTGCAAAGAGGGGCTTTTTTGGGCTCGAAATACCCCAAAATGGGTTCAAGTTTGTGCCTGGACAGGTTGGGTTGGAAATAAATTGGAAAGCTGAAGTGAGGGGGAGCGGTAGCAAACACCCCCCTTGTCAACACTTCCACCTAACAAAAATCCTTCTGCAAGTAAAACAAGTGATGAATCCCGAGGGATTTCGGCAATGGAGGAGCAGCACCGCCCTAGTAATTAGAAATCATTCCCGTTTATTAATTAGCTCTGGGGACAAACAGAGCCCACGTGGGGACAGGCACCGCAGCCCAATCTCCTGCTGCCATCTAGCGAGACCTGGTTATTTATTTCCTTTTTTAATGACTCGCTGCTTTCTCCCGATTTTCATATTAAAGTTTTCTCTGAGATTTTATGGGCAGAAACACTGCCTGGAGACGAGCAGGAGCTTTTTTAGGCCAGTTACAGGGGTTTTTTTACCCATTTTCTGACTCCGAGCGCAGTCAGACCCCTTTTTGAGGAGCCTTACCCCAGGTTCAGCCCCTCAGGGAATTCCTCAAGCTGTGGCTGTGAAAAATCTCAGCGCTAGAACCAGAAACAAAACCAAGGCCGATCATCGCCCAGCCTGAGGTTTTCTTCTAGAACACCACAACAAAACCAAACAGCTTTGGGAAAGTTGTACGAGAACTGGGAGATTTTTGTTTTCCCCCTCTTGTAACTTTTCCTTCCATTTTGAACCAAAACTCTGATCCAGGGGAGCAAATCCCCGCACCTCACTCAGTTTTCAAGCTTCTCGAGCTCGTCCATGTCATCTGGGTCCAGCTGCTTGATCTTGGTCTCTGGAAGAAGGAAAAAAAAATAATAAATATTGACAGTGCTTGGCACAAACAGGGTAAAACCAAAGCCCAGCCACCCCGCAAGCCAG